ACTGTGTCTGGCATATCGAATACTCTCGGTAGCTTGCCGAAAATTCCTATCTATATAGGCAAGTTTAAAATAATTGTAGTAAATTTTAATTTTTAAATGTTTTTGTTTCTAAATTCCATAATATTTCATAACCACAGAACAGTTATGCTCTTTGTAAACAACTAAATATAGTATTTAAAATGAAATTTCACATATTGTCTTGTGAGCTAATAGTATAAATTGGGTATGGCATTCAGATACATGCACTGCCAATTTTGTCCAGCAGATGGTACTCCTACAGAGCTTTTCAACGCAAGCCAATAACCAGCATAGCTTTATACCAGAATAAACTGCTTCTGAATTTCTTTATCTAATTTGTGCAATATGAATGTACAACATGTCATTTCCTTTTTCGGGGTAAGGCATTTACTTTTCAGTGAGTAACTATAATTATATTATTTATATTGATAATATATAATGGTGGAAATGAATTTTTCTTGTTATCCTTATTAGCTTAATTAATATTACAGATCAATTAATAACCATTTAAATTTAAATTCATTAATTAATTTATGTTTGAATTTTGGGCCACACACGGTGGTGCTCAGGGAATATTCCTGGCTCTGCACTCAGGAATTACTCCTGATGGTGCTCAGGGGACTATATAGAACACCCAGAACAGAATCAAGGTCGACTGTGTGCAAGGCAAGAGCCCTATTTGCTGTGCTATCTCTCCAGCCCCTCAATCAATGACTATTTTAAAAATTTAATTTCTTTCTACTACTTATGATTGTATATATATATATATAGAGAGAGAGAGAGAGAGAGAGAGAGAGAAACACATTGTATAGAGATAGATTTCTTACCCCCCTCTTTAGAAAAAATAACTGATGGTTTTATATGGATAATAACCATATATAAATGTGTATATATTAAAATTCTCAGACGTCCTGTCTTTAACAACTGTCTTTAAGTTGCTTGTGGGAAGCTGGCCCTTTAACTGACCAAGGCCTAAGTGCCTGTGCTACGTGACCTGCAACAGGCACAGCCTGTGCCACGTGACTTGCAACAAGCAAGGCCAGTGCTAGGTATGGTTACCTTGAGGTATGGTGATAACAAGAAGTAACTATCTCTTGCCTAGTATGTGATGCCTATAAATCATACGGACATAGCCCTTTGTGTAACAAACCTCCCTAACCATATATGGGCACGACCTTCTGTGTAGCTGCCTCACTAATGAATATATTCCCTGATTTCCCCCAATAAAGTCTGTCCCTTTTTCTCTCTTTTTCTGAGCTACATTCTGTCTCTTGTGTCTCGTGTTCATTCGGTCGGTCCTTCTCAGCACCTACGGATCCTAGGGCCACCTCCGCAGGCCGGAGAGTGGTCTGGCGGGGCCCCCCGCAACTGGCGCCCACGCGGGGCGGTGTCTGGGAGACGACCTCCGAACTCCCCTTCTGCAAGCGGTGGCCACCGGGACGCACAGAGAAGTAAGTGCGCGCCTAATCAAAAATCCCCGTCTCGTTCGAGGCCGAGTGGGAAGATCCCCGTCTTGTTCGAGGCCGAGTGGGAATTAGCCCCTGCCTCGTTATAGAGGTTGACGGGGTGGTATAAGGGGAGAACTGAGTGTTCAGTCTCATATGAGGTATATGAGACGGTCACTGGGTTGGATAAGGCTCCCCCGCGCTCCTTTGTTGTGTCCTTTGTGGAATGTGTGTGTGAGTGAATGAGCGGTCAGGGGCGTCCTCGCCTCTGATTCGAGTTTGTGGTTCCACGGCTGGGCACCCTTAAGGTCCCCGAGAAGGCTACGGAACCCGGTTGGGCTGCCTGCGATTCCACGGGAAACATATGGTCTATGGTGGTGCTGACTTAGACGTCGGCCGCAAGTCACCTCTGGCTGATCCACTACGGCTAAGTTTCGCACCGGCCAGGCAAGCATCTGAGTGGGCCCCTTTGTGGGGCCTCCCCGTGTCTCTCGTCTGTTTCTCCCAGGTATTCACGCGGGGCTTCAGCCTTCCAGTGACCCATCTCCTGTCTCGTCTCTATTCATGTTTTTCTTTTCTGCCTTCTAGTCCTCCTGTCTGTGTTACAATTGAGTGTTCAGTCTCATATGAGGTATATGAGACGGTCACTGGGTTGGATAAGGCCCCCCTGCGCCCCTTTGTCGTGTCCTTTGTGGAATGTGTGTGTGAGTGAATGAGCGGTCAGGGGCGTCCTCGCCTCTGATTTGAGTTTGTGGTTCCACGGCTGGGCACCCTTAAGGTCCCCAAAAAGGCTACGGAATCCGGTTGGGCTGTCTGCGGTTCCACGGGAAACATATGGTCTATGGTGGTGCTGACTTAGACGTCGGCCGCAAATCACCTTTGGCTGATCCACTACGGCTAAGTTTCCCACTGGCCAGGCAAGCACCTGAGTGGGCCCCTTTGTGGGGCCTCCCCGTGTCTCTCGTCTGTTTCTCCCAGGTATTCGCGCAGGGGACAGCCTTCCAGTGACCCATCTCCTGTCTTGTCTCTCTCTATGTCTTGTCTGCCTTCTATTTCTTTTCATCTGTCTTATATTTCTTATTTTCTATTCGTGTGTATCTGTATTTTTGAACGCTGTTTTTCCTGACCTCTGAAAATGGGTCAGAGTTTAAGCAAGAAGGAATTGTTTATTCGTGGTTTAAAGACATCCCTTAAGCACCGGGGTATCCGGGTCAAGAAAAAGGATCTCGTAGATTTTTTTCTTCTCATTGAGGAGATCTGTCCCTGGTTCCCTCAAGGGGGCACCATCGATGAGAAACGTTGGGGCCATGTAGGAGACTGTCTTAAAGACTATTACAGGACGTTTGGTCCCGAGAAAATCCCCGTTCCGACTTTCTCTTATTGGAATCTCATTAATGAGGTCCTTCGCGTCCGACATGTTCAGTCAGACGCTCACCAGGTAGTCCAAGACTCTGAGACCTTTCTTAAAGATTATCGCCCTTCTAACCCTCATTCCCGCATGCCTTCTCGCCCGCCTTCTGTTTCCCCCACCCCCCTCGCAGAATCAGAGGAACCTCGTAGATCCCCCTGTCCCTCCGTATCCATCCCTATGCCCCCTGAGGAGCCACCCGAGAAACCTCCCGCGGGCTCTCAGCCCAACCCCTCTGAGTGTTTGGTGCCACGCTTATATCCAGTCATCAGGGAGCCACCCGAGAAACCTCTTGCAAAATCCCAGTCCGACTCCTCTGAGTGTTTAATGCCACGCTTATATCCAGCCATCAGGGATCCCCTCCCCAAGCACTCCCCTCTGCGTTCCTTGGACTCTGATGCCCTTCCCCCGGAGAACGTTGCTGACCTCACGGATGCAGCCACATGCTCTCGTACAGCGGAGAGGCCCCCAAAGGTCCCCCTTGCCTCCCCTCTCCGCCCCCCTCCGTACAATCCAGAGGTCTATCTCGGGGCGAGCAATTATCTTTCACCGTCCTTTGTGGGTTCCGACTTTCGTCTTGCTACCCACCGCTTGGCGCAAGAAGCGCAAGTGCTTCGCTCCTTTTTGCAACAAAAGAAGGAATTCCTGGACCTCCTGGGGCAAATCAGGCAACTTGATCTATCCCCAAATGCCCCACCCGATTCACAGAGCCAGCCGCTTAAAGCTCCCCCGCAGGCCCCTCAGATCTTTCCTGCTCTCCGGTCTGGTAGACGCCTCTCATCTCAAGCCCCTTCAGGGGAGGAGAGGGAGGGAGCAGCCCAAGAGGCAGATTCCCCAGAAGACCGCGAGGGCATCGAGGAGGCTCCTAATCTGGGTAGGGACGAGAGGGATCCCGAGCCAGGGGAGACCCACACGGAAGCCCATGGGCGACAGCGCTATAAAAGGCTGAAATTTAGTGATATTAAAGACATTAAGGATGCTGTTACCTCCTGTGGCCCAACCGCTCCCTTTACTCTGAGCCTCTTAGAATCCCTTAGTGAGACCTGGCTCACCCCTAATGATTGGTTTTCCCTGACCCGTGCCGTTTTAAGCCGCGGAGATTATCTGCTCTGGAAGGCAGACTATCATGATCGTTGTCAGGATATGGCCAGGCGGAATCTTGCTGCGGGAGGGTCCTCCTCCTCCTGGGTACTAAGCAAATTCCTGGGTAACGCTCCCTTTTCCTCTAATGAGGTTCAGGCTCAGTTTCCCCCCGGCCTTCTCACGCAGATTCAGGCAGCAGCCTTGAAGGCTTGGAAAGGTCTCCCAACAAAGAGTTCCGTTGTCACCTCTCTTGCCAAAGTCCGTCAGGGCCCTAACGAGCCCTACAATGACTTTGTTGGCCGCCTGGTGGAGGCTGCTGAGCGCCTCCTGGGGGGAGGCGACACTGATAATGACTTTATTCACCACCTAGCCTATGAAAATGCTAATTCTGTCTGCCAGGGCGTCCTCCGTCCCCACAAACGGGGCAAGACCCTCTCTGACTACCTCCGCCTATGCGCCGATGTAGACCCAGCCTCTCAAAGAATGGGACTGGCTATTGGGGCGGCCTTTAAAAATTTGACCTATACTCCAGTGACCGCTCCGGCCAACCCTAGAGTCTGCTTTGGCTGTAACAAGCCTGGTCATCTCTGGCGTCACTGCCCAGAGCGGGGGAGGGCGCGTGTACCCCAGAAATTATGCCCCAAGTGTAAGAATGGGTACCACTGGGCATCAGAGTGCCGGGTTGAAGTTGTCTCTCGCCCGGGAAACTTGTCGCGGGGCCGGCCCCAGGGCCCCGTAATGCAGCAGGCAACTGGGGCACTCCCCTTTCTTCCCCCTCAATCCCTGCCGCCTCCGGCCATTGTTCAGCCTCAGGTTTCGATTCCCTCCTGCGCGCCATCCCAGGCAGCTCCAAATTGGACCTCCGTACCACCTCCCCCACAATCCTAACCCAGGCACAGGGACCTCAGCCCATCCCAGTCAATTTCCAGGGGCCCCTGCCTGCTGGAATGGTTGGCCTCATTATCGGGAGGGGGAATCTTATATTGGAGGGATTCCAGGTCCTCCCCGGCACTATAGATGATACTCTCACTGGCCAGCTTAGCGTTATGGCCGCGACTACGTCCTCATTCCTGAGTATAGATCTGGGTGCCCGCATTGCTGAATTGCTCCTTATCCCACCCAGCGCCACCCCTGGCGCCACCGGCCCCCCGCCACCGGGGGTGTTCTGGGCTCAGGTTATACAGGAGTGTAAGCCACTTCTGACTCTCACCATCTCAGGCAGATCTTTTACCGGCCTTATAGATACTGGAGCTGATACTACCATCATTACTACCAGGGACTGGCCGCCAGAATGGCCAATCTCCCCCTCTTTAACACACCTGCAGGGAATTGGCCATTCAAAAAACCCGATGTTGAGCTCAGCTGAGCTCAAGTGGCAGACCCCCGAAGGAAAGGAAGGCCACGTCCGCCCCTATGTCCTCCCCGACCTGCCTGTTAATCTCTGGGGGAGGGACGTCCTGTCCCAAATGGACCTGATCCTAGTAGATACCAAAGGCCTAGATCTTTTACTTCAACAGGGCTATCTTCCTGGCCAAGGTCTGGGAAGGCACTCCCAGGGTCTCACTGAGCCCGTGATGCCTCCCCCCTCTGTGGGACGACTAGGACTGGGAAATTTACCATAATGGCCATTGACTTGCCTGTACCCCACGCTGATAAGATTATCTGGCGATCAGATGACCCTGTGTGGGCAGATCAATGGCCCCTGTCCTCAGAAAAACTAGCCGCAGCGGAGGCGCTAGTGCAGGAGCAGCTCGCTGCTGGACACATAGAACCTACCAACTCCCCCTGGAACACGCCCATCTTTGTGATCAAGAAGAAATCGGGGAAGTGGCGTCTGCTCCAAGATCTAAGGGCAGTAAACAAGACCATGGTGGTCTTTGGAGCATTACAGCCTGGCTTGCCATCCCCTGTGGCCATCCCCGCCCTATGGCACAAGATCGTTATTGACCTAAAGGACTGTTTTTTCTCAATTCCCCTCCACCCTGCTGATCGCCCTCGATTTGCATTCAGTGTTCCCGTCACAAATTTCAGAGGCCCGATGAAGCGGTTTCAGTGGAAGGTGCTACCTCAGGGTATGGCCAACAGTCCCACCTTATGTCAGAAGTTTGTTGTGAGTGTTCTGGCCCCGGTCAGGGAACAATGGCCGGATCTTTACGTAGTCCATTATATGGATGATATCCTGCTTGCTGGCCCGCACCCAGATGAAGTTATGCGTTGCTGCAGTCATATGATTGACACCCTAACTCAAGCAGGGTTTTCCATAGCTCAAGACAAAATTCAGATGAGTGACCCCTACTCCTTCTTAGGCTTTCAAATCAACCAATCTAGAATCAGAGTCCAGAAAGCTCAGCTCATGACATCCACATTGAAGACTTTAAATGACTTTCAGCAGCTATTAGGCAATATTAATTGGCTCCGACCCTGCCTTAAGCTGACACAAGATGATCTTAAGCCTCTATTTGACACCCTTCGGGGCGATCCCGATCCTAATTCTCCCCGTACACTTACAGATGACGCCCGACGCGCCCTTGCCCTTGTAGAGCGCGCCATTGATGAACAGTTTATTGTTGCCCTGAACTATGAGCTCCCCTTTTCTCTGATAATTTTTGCGACCCCACACTCTCCTACAGGTCTTGTTTGGCAGACCCATCCTGTTTCCTGGTTGTCTCTACCCTCGACCCCCAGACGTGTCCTCACTCCCTATTACCTCCTTGTTTCCTCATTAATTAGACTAGGGAGGGAATATTGCAGAAAATACTTCGGCTTGGAGCCGACCACCATCATTCAGCCCTACGACCGGGACCAGGTAAACTGGCTACTCCAGAATTCCGATGACTGGCCCATAGCCTGTGTCTCCTTCCAGGGACTCATAGATAATCATTACCCTCCAGACAGACTGATTCAATTCTGCAAGACCCACAGATGGATCTTCCCCACTGTCACTAGCTATAATCCCATCCCCGAGGCTCCCACTATCTTCACTGACGGATCTTCTAGTGGGATGGCAGCGTACGTGCACCAAGAGAACATCGTCTCTTTTGGCACAGACTATACATCTGCCCAATTGGTGGAGCTGTCGGCTGTTTGTAAAGTTTTTCAAGACTTCCCCCAGACAGCCTTTAATCTATACACAGATAGTGCCTATGTAGCCTTTTCTGTCCCGCTCCTTGAAACTATCAGCTATATTAAGGAATCCTCTCAGGCGACCAGTTTGTTCTTACAGATCCAACAGTGCATCCGCTCCCGCCGTCTCCCCTTTTTTATAGGCCATCTGAGAGCCCATTCCGGGCTCCCGGGCCCACTATCTGAAGGCAACGACAGGGCTGATCAGGCTACTCGGCTGATTGCAGCCTCTATTGCCAGTCCGGACCCCATAGCAGAGGCCACTAAGGCTCATGCACTTCATCACCTTAATGCTAATACTTTAAGAATGATGTTTAAAATCTCTCGAGAGCAGGCCCGACAAATCGTAAAACAGTGCCAGTCTTGTGTAACCTTTCTACCTACACCCCACCTGGGAGTTAATCCCAGGGGGCTGGTTCCTAATGCGCTCTGGCAAATGGATGTTACTCATGTCTCTTCTTTTGGACGGTTTAGATATGTCCATGTGGTGATAGATACCTTTAGCGGGTACATATGTGCATCTGCTCAGACAGGCGAGGCCTCTAAGAATGTTATCAATCACGTCCTTTACTGCCTATCTGTCCTGGGGAAGCCGCAGTGCATCAAGACGGACAATGGCCCGGGTTATACAGGGAAGAGGTTCCAGGACTTTTGTAAGAAGCTCCAAATTCAGCATACCACTGGAATTCCTTACAACCCGCAAGGCCAGGGCATTGTGGAAAGAGCCCACTCTACTCTTAAAATGTATATCTCCAAATTGATAAAGGAAAGAGACCTATATGTTGCCTCCAGCTCTCCTAAGACGCTGTTGTCCCATGTACAGTTTGTGCTCAACTTCCTAAGTCTGGACAAGGATGGCCGTAGCGCTGCAGACCGTTTCTGGCATTTTAATTCAAAAAACTCCTATGCTATGGCTAAATGGAAGGATCCACTCACGGCTCAGTGGCATGGCCCGGACCCAGTCCTGATCTGGGGCAGGGGACACGCCTGTGTCTATGACACTCGTGAGGGAGCTGCACGTTGGCTCCCAGAGAGGCTGCTCCGGCAAACAGATCTTATAATTCCTTCCAGGGATCCTGAAGGCCCTGAGAAACATTCTCCCTCTCTTTCAGATGTCAGCCCCAAGGAACATCCTCTTGCCTCTGACCCTGACTCTGCTGACCCCATGGAACCTTCATAAGCCCTACGCCCTGCCTGCTGAACCCCACCGGGCAATTCCTATCTGCTGGCAAGTCTTCGCACGAGAAGCAGATGGAGACCGGAGTGTTCTTTCTCAGTGCGCCTTACAAACCCTCTCCTGGTTTCCTGACTTAGAGGTGGACTTCTGCTCACTCATTCCCCTGTCCTGGCGTCCCTCCTGCCGGGCTAAGTGGGAAACAGAGAACTACGCCTGCCCCGGACATAAGAGGGTCTCAGGATGTGGAGATGCCACTGATTTTTTCTGCAAGCGTTGGGGCTGCGAGACCACTGGTACTGCTTCTTGGGTTCGTTCCTCCACCTCCGATTTAATCACTCTTTCTTCAGCACAGAGGTATCCTGGTACTGTCCCATGCCAGCTCCCTGCGGGTGATCGCTATTGTAAACTTCTTCGCATTTCCTTTACACCTAATGGCAGGGCACTAGCCTTCTCTAGTTGGGCCGGGGGTGGCCTTCTTTGGGGATTGCGTCTGTATGCTGGAACAGCCCCTGGTCTTCTCTTTGGCATTCGCAGGACCTTTCCCCAGTCTCTGCCCAGAAGCGCTACTCCGACGGAGCAGCCTTCCTCGACTCCTGCTAACTCTGCTGATTATAAGCCACTCCCCATCTGCTGGGAGGTGTACTTTGAACAACTACAAACATTCGACTCTCCCCGTCATGCAGTTTCCTCACTCATTCAGAAGCGATGCGCTCTCCAAACCCTCTCTTGGTTCCCTAACTTAGAGGTAGACTACTGTCATGTAGCTAATAACTACAGCACCCCGGTGCCCAAGTCAGCGTGTGTTTCCAGCTGGTCCATGCCACATTTCTTGTGCCCTGGACACACGTCGGATCCTGCGTGCGGGGATGACCGAGTTTACTTCTGTGCCACAAAAGCCTGTGCGTCCTCCAGCACAGCCGTCAGGGCTCTCGGCACCCGCCCAGATTACATCTCCTATTCTCACCTCTCTGCTCCCGCTGGTCAATCCAGCTGTCGCCCCCCTGCAGGCGACTCCACTTGTAGGAATTTTCGTCTTTCTTTCACCCTAGCAGGGAGAACCCTTCCCCCTTCCCGGTGGGCCGCTAACGGCCTGGTCTGGGGAGTCACCTTGAGTGGCTCGACCCCAGCAGGGCACCCGATCGGGTGGTTTCTCCGTCTTCGCCGTACCGTATCCCAAGCCCTCCCTGATGCACAGCCTGGTCCATCACCTTCGCCTCCCGCACTCCATCCACCTGTCCCCGTTACAACTCCAAAGATCAGACAGACACTTCCCACATTTCCCACATTTCCCCCTTCCTTCCCCTCCTCCCCGCCATTTCTGCCACCTCTCCCGTCTAGTTCTGTGGACGCCCTCAAGGCCCTAGTGGCCGCCTCCTTTGCATCCTTGAATGCAACTTCCCCAACACTTACGGAATCCTGCTGGCTTTGCCTTCAACCGGCCCCCCCGTTTTTTGATGCTATTGGCCACAATGCTTCCTATGGTATCTCTCTTTCGCCTCCCTCGTCTTGGGGACCCCCTTTGGGACCTCGATATCCTCACCTTTCTCTATCCTCGACCTCTGGCTCCGGCCACTGCATCGGCTCTGTTCCTTCAGCCTACGTAAGCCACTGCACCCGGATCACTCCAGACCCGCGTTTTCCCCCCACCTCCTGGGTAACCCCGACCGAGGATGCCTGGTGGCTATGTTCAGTGACAGGCCTGACTCCTCATCTCGCAGCCTCTGTTTTTGACTCCTCTTCAGAATTCTGTATGACTGTTCTGGTGGTACCCCGTATTTTGTACCACCCAGCTTCCACCCTTTATGATTACTGGTCCCCGCGCGATGTTGCCTCACCCCACCGATTCCGCCGTGAGCCTGTCTCTGCCATCACCATTGCCACCCTGTTCACCCTTGGCCTTGCAGGCGCCGGCACAGGCATCGCCGCCCTGGCATCTCAGCACTCCGGTCTAGCTACACTTCGCGCTGCTGTGGATGCCGATTTAGAGCGCCTTGAACAATCCATCTCTCACCTCGAGGATTCTCTGACATCTCTTTCGGAAGTTGCTCTTCAAAACCGCAGAGGACTGGACTTGCTTTTTATGAAAGAGGGGGGATTGTGTGCTGCCTTGGGGGAAGAGTGTTGCTTTTATGTTAACCACAGTGGAGTGATTAAAAACTCCATGCGAGAATTAAGGGAAGGTTTAGAACGGAGACGTTGGGAACGTGAGTCTTCTAGCTCTGGGTGGGCCCTGCACACTCTACTTCCTTACTTGTTGCCACTCTTGGGTCCCCTGACTGCCCTTTTATTGATTGCTACGGTGGGCCCCTGCATTTTTAACCG